TCGAAGTTGGCGAACCTTTATCAATATAAGTTCTATCCCTACAACACACAGAATATACAAATCTAAACTACAAGTTCAGATCTGCATAACTACCATTTGTTGAAGTGCGCGGTGAGGTTGCTGCCCTTGGGGAAGGCGAAGGCCATCGAGGCGGACCAGATGACCTCCTTCGCGATGTAGTAGTTGCACTCGCCCGTCTGCCCGTAGTCGTCGCTCATAATCTTGACGAGACGTCGAGGGAATTATTGTCCTATCTCTAGTAGGCACACACACGCGTGCACACGAATACATATGGAAGAATGTGTGGCTCAGGAGGATGGCAACTCCGTTTAGCCAAGGGTTTCTGCCTGGCTCTACGTTCATCGATTTCCAAATTAGTCAGAAATCAGCCGATTGCATTACAGTGCTCAGATAAAGTAAACCATTTTAATCGCTGCATGCGTAGAATGAAGCAATGTGATCCTCCTGAGGTGGATTCCTACCACGAGTGCATCTACAAAAATAATATGCCAATAAATAAATATATATAAATAATCAAAGACATATCCAGTACATAAAAATCTATAACGCAACAAGATCCGTCACTAACAACCGATAACTATTTCACAAACCCCATATAAATTTTGATATTGATTATGAGTAGAACCACTAGAATATAATAATAATAATAATAATAAACCTTACAGGTATGGATGCAACTAAATGACTAAATAATAAAGAATGGCACCGGTGACACTCACACACCAACTGTATACTATACAAACACACGTGTGTAAACCTCCATACACACACAAACGCATACATGTAAAACTTCCCTCATACACATACATACACACACATTCCATCCCTTCCAAACACAACCCACATATAAACAGACGGATTCACTTATTTAAAAGACTCGTGCGTACCAATTTCATCGAGAAGAAATCGCAGAGAATGGCGAAGCGTTTTTCCTTCATGCGGTCCCTCTCCGCGAAGCTACTAGACACGTAGAATATTTTCTTGTTGATCTCTTTGTAGACGCCCGAGCTGGAATCCTAATGCAGAATAAAAAAAAAAAAAAAAAAAGAAAAAAAAACAGGTGGGATCATTTTTCCTATTTCCATATCATCACTATTACTGTGTGTGTGTAGAGAGACAGATATATGTGCGTTTGTGTGTGAAATAAGTTGAATCTGAATTTGTGTATAATAGTACAATAATCACCATAAGAATCCATCACTCTAGTTCTTAGAATGTTCTTTAAAAGCTCATAATATCTGACAGTCTGAGATTTAGTTAAATGATACTGAACTACAATGTTCTCAAACCACGATTGATAGTAATTACTGGCCTGTATTACCTTTGGTTTTTTTTCAGCCAAACCACCACTGAGGCCTTAAGAGTACCCGCGTTTGTGATATCACGGGCATTTAACCGACAACAGACCTCGTTAGTGTCCATCTCTCTCCAATAACATTTTTGTTACTCTCTTTATTCTCTTGGGTGTCCACATGTACAGCCTCGTTTCCAGATTAAGCAAGAAGACAACCTTTATTTGCTTATAAATTAAATAAGTTCACCTAATATACTCACATCGAGGAGCTGGTGGATCGAGGTGCCATGCTCCACCGACCAAGGGATTTTGCCGTAGTCGAGGAGGTCCTGCAAGGAGTCCACAGGCACCTCTACCTTCGGCACCGCCAGGAGGGAAGTCAGGATGCTCTGGTAGGCCGAGGAGAGGATGAGGGAGACCACCATCCACGTGCCCAGCAACACCCGGCCTGTGAGGGACGTCGGTAGCAGGTCGATGGCTGCGGGGAAAATAGACTGTCGTGAGTTTGTTTTTGTTGACACATTGCGATCTTTCTCTCGGTCTCGCTCTCGCTTTCGCTCTCTCTCACATTGCGATCTTTCTCTCGGTCTCGCTTTCGCTCTCTCTCACATTGCGATCTTTCTCTCGGTCTCGGTCTCGCTCTCTCTCTCTCTCTCTCTCTCTCTCTCTCTCTCTCTCTCTCTCTCTCTCTCTCTCTCTCTCTCTCTCTCTCTCTCTCTCTCTCTTTCTTTCTCTCGCTCTCTCTCTCTCTCTCTCTCTCTCTCTCTCTCTCTCTCTCTCTCTCTCTCTCTCTCTCTCTCTCTCTCTCTCTCTCTCTCTCTCTCTCTCTCTCTCTGGTTCACGTGACCACGTGGGTGGGCGCCATCTTGGAAGTCCAGCCGCATGGCTCGAATCGTGGATATACACAGGGTATACATCCTATACCCTGTCTCATACATTATGTATGCATATATTGCATAAATACGTACATATATATATATATAAGTATGCATATATCTGTAAGGCAAAACATATTTGTGTGTATATGTATGTATATATATGTATATATATATATATATATATATATATATATATATATATATATATATATATGCATATGTATGTGTGTGTGTGTGTGTGTATGTGTGTGTGTGTGTGTGTGTGTGTGTGTGTGTGTGTGTGTGTGTGTGTGTGTGTGTGTGTGTGTGTGTGTGTGCGTGTGTGTGTGTGTGCCTGCGTGCGTGCGTGCGTGCGAGCGTGTGTGCGTGCGTGCGTATGTGTACACTCTTCTTTTATTGCCTTTAACGTGAGCCGAAGGAGGCGAACTTACGCTCCACGATCATCATCTTGAAGATCCAGCTCGGGCGGAAGAAGGCGCGCCGCCCTCCCGCGCCGGTCCTCGCGGCCCCCGGCAGCGACCCCTTCAGCGCCATCCAGTCGTAAGCGACGCCGAGGACCATGCTAAGGGCCATCAGTGTCAGAAGTGCCACCCATACCTGTGTGGCAGATGCGGCAGCGGCAGTGATTATAGGGACAGTGGTAATGATTTTAAAAGCACAGATTTCGTGCACATCGCTGTGTGTACGTTCCAAGAAGAGTTGCCGCTAGATATTGTGTTTTGTTAAGTATGAGATTCTTTCTTTGTGGTGAAGAAATTAAAGTATATTTACAGAGTTGTTAGAATCTGCAGCTTTGCTACAGACGCTTTGATGTTCTTTTTATTATTTCTAAAATCTGGCGGTGATTAGTTAATGATTTTACATATAATATAGTACTAAACGTTGTTCATTTTCTCTCTCCATATCCCCCAATGCTGAATTTCCTCCGGTGTTAAATTAGAAAAAATATACAGTAATCTGCTTGGTGGAGGAAAGGGAGGAAGAAATATCCACTCGGGAAAAAGAAAGAATGGTTAAAGAAAAAGAAGATTGCAGCAAACAGCAAAGCGACGAAACCATACCACGGGCCTCAAATTTCCAGATCTTTCGGCCTCTTTTAGTCTCCTTTTTCAGCTCACCTGCCACGCGAAGGGCTTGACGAATCCGGCAAGATCCCTCTCCTTGCGAGGCCGAGGGAGGAAGATCCCGAAGGAGTCGATGTAGAGCGGGACTGAATAGTCGATGATCTGCGACCTCTTGTACGTGATGCTGAAGGGCCCCAGAGCCATGTCCACCTCCTGCACCGACAGGCAGGAAACGCCAGTAAGGAAAGATATGGGTTCTCTGTATTCTTCTATTATTATCGCCATATTATCATCATTAACGTTAATGTTGTTGTTTTTTTTTGCGGGGGGGGTGGGGTACAGGATCTACATTCTAGAGCTAAATTGTCATTTGACATCTTTACTATTCAGCTACTGGATCACCACACTTCTTACATTCCTCTGACACATTCCGATCATGCCGGTGGTGGACCCGTTGGGCAAGAGGCGGCCCCACTCGCCGTCCACGGACTTTATCACGGAGAACCTGTCACGTGAATTGGTGAGATGCGTTGTTCGTTTTTTCAGTATCTTTATCAGAATTGTTATTACTATTGTTATCATCATCATGATTATCATTGTTTCTGTTATCATGACATCAGTGATTTTGAACACTGACGCATACAACAGTTTACACAACTTACGTGAAGTTGAGTTTTCTGGCAAAGATTTCCATGAAGTCCATCAGGAGCCCGGAAGTGGTGAAGGAGCCGTCTTGGTGGTCCTGGAAAGTGACGAAAGGAACCCACAGCCCAGCGGCCACGCGGAGGTGAGTCCCGCTCAAGGACATTTTCTTGTTCCGGCAGTTGTTCTTGTTGTCTTTTGGGATGCTTCGTATCCCCGCGCCTAGAATAAGATGGAATGAAATGAGAGTATTATATTTGTCGATAAATCAAAAGAAGTATAAAAAAAAGCCTAAAGTAATGCCTAAAATGAGAATAAACCAACACGAAAAAAATCTGATGAAGTACAGATTTGCTACTGGATATGTAGAATATACAAGTACTGTTGCTCTAACTATACGTCCCTTAGTCACCTCTGCAGCAAACTACAACCTTCTTTTGAACTGTCGATTCTTGACGTTTTTACCTTCATGGATTTTAACCTTTGCTGTAACATTAGGAAGCAGCTGTACAGTGTTTACTATATAATACTCTCGCACGGTATTTTAAGGGCAAGTAACGTGACATTTTGCACCTGTTTTTCTTCGTAGGCAATGTTATTCTTTTTGAAAGGTTGTCTTTTGAAATGAAACAAAAGGTCATTTTTAGTTTTATAACTTGTCAGACGACAAGATTCGTTATTTCAGTGAATAATGTAATGGAAGGGGCCAAATGATAAAAAGAAAGCATTGCATTTCTGATGGTAAACATAGATCAAGATAAGTGTCGACAAGAAATCTCGATTATTATGTTGTATCTGATTGTATGTTTGATCAACTCTCAAGAAAGTTGCGTGACGTACTAATCGTCAAATGACAATTATACACGTATATGAGCACTGCATATGCACGTATATAAATGATAATAGATATATGAATAATTAAATAAATGTGTACATAGATAGATAGAGAGAGAGAAAGAGAGAGAGAGAGAGAGAGAGAGAGAGAGAGAGAGAGAGAGAGAGGAGAAGAGAGAGATAGAAGAGAGAAAAGAGAAATAGAGATAGATAGATAGATAGAGAGAGAGAGAAAGAGAGAGAGAGAGAGAGAGAGAGAGAGAGAGA